TCCACTGTGCCATCTAGCTGCCCCTATCTCTATTTTTTCTAATGTTTAATCTCTCCATCTGGGGGGACAAGGCAGAGCCAAGATGGCAGGGAAGAAGTAGGGACTTTCCTGAGCTCTCCCAAATCCCCTCCAAACAACTTTAAAATAAAATAGGGCAAGGAGGAGCACTGGAACTGGTGTGCTTAAGGCTGCAGAGGAGTGGGTACTTGTGATCACTTACAGGCCAAGAGAATAGTAAACATCTCATACCACCTTGGAGGAATTGAAAACTTACAGACCCCCAGAACTAACTCTGAAAACAACTGTACAAAAAATCTGAAGTTTGGGAGAGTGTCCCCTCCATCCCAGGAGCAGAGCCCAACTTTAAAATAAAATTGAAAGTCAAGAAATAGGTTGGAAAAAATGAACAAACAAACACCAACAAAAAAGAATATGACCATAGAAAGTTACTATGATGACAGGGAAGATCAAAACACAAACTCAGAAGAAGACAGCAAATTCAAAACTGCTACATGCAAAGCCTCAAAGAAAAATTAGAATTGGTCTCAGGCCTCAAAAGAATTCCTGGAAGAGCTCAAAAAAGATTTTAAAAATTAAATAAGAGAGGTAGAGGAAAATTTGGGAAAATAAATGAGAGTGATGCAAGAAAATCATGAAAAAAGAGTCAACAGCTGAGTAAAAGAGTCACATAAAATACTGAAGAAAATAACACCTTAAAAAACAGAATAGGCAAAATGGTAAAAGAGTCACATGAAATACTGAAGAAAATAACACCTTAAAAAAACAGAATAGGCAAAATGGTAAAAGAGGCACAAAAATTCACTGAAGAAAAGAACTCCTTAAAAAGTAGAACTGGCCAGATGGAAAAGGAGGTACAAAAGCTCACTGAAGAAATAATTCCTTAAAAATTAGAATTGAGCAAGTGGGAGATAATGACTCTGTGAGACATCAAGAAACAATAAAACAAAATCAAAAGGATGAAAAAAATAGAAGAAAATGTGAAATATCTTATTGGAAAAAAAACTGACCTAGAAAATAGATGGAGGAGAGATAATTTAAGAATTATTGGCCTACATGAAAGCCATGATAAAAAAAGAGCCTAGACATCAGCTTTCAAGAAATTATCAAGGAAAACTGTCCTGATATTCTAGAACCAGAGGGTAAAATCTAAATTAAAAGAATTCACAAATCACCTCTTGAAAGAGATCCCAAAATGAAAACTCTCAAAATGAAAAGCCAATTCCAGAGCTCCTAGGTCAAGGAGAAAATATTTCAAGCAGCCAAGAAGAAACAATTCAAATGTTGTGGAGTCATAGTCAGGATAATACAGGATTCAGCAGTTTCTACATCAAAAGATCAGAGGGCTTTGCTGGAGGGCAAAGGATCTAGGATTACAACCAAGAATCACCTATTCAGTAAAACTGAGTATGATCATTCAGGGGGAAATGGATATTTCATTAAATAGAGGACTTTCAAGCATTCCTGATGAAAAGATAAGAACTGAATAGAAAAATTTGACTTTCAAATACAAGACTCAAGAGAAGCATGAAAAGGTAAACAGGAAAGAGAAATCATAAGTGATTCAATAAGATTAAGCTGTTTACATTCCTAGATGGGAAGATGATACCTGTAACTCCTGGGAACTTTTCATTATTAGGGCATTAGAAAGAGTGTACATAGAAAGAGGGCACAGGGATGAGTTGAATATGATGGGATGATATAAAAAAAATTAAGGGGAAAGAAAGAGGAAGGCCCTGAGAGAAAGGGGAAAGGAGAGGTAGAATGAGGTAAATTATTTCATATAAAAGAGGCTCAAAAGAGCTTATATAGTGGAGGGGAAGACAGGTGAGGTGGGGGGAGCTCTTTAACCTTACTCTCATCAGAATTCCCTCAAAGAGGCAGTAACATACAAACTCAGTTGGGTATAGAAATCTATTTTACAATACAGGAAAGTAGGAGGGGAGGGAGATAAGAGAAGGGGAGGGGGCTGATAGAAGGGAGGGAAGATTGAGGGAGGCAGTAGTCTGAGGTACCACCCCACACCTATCATATTGGCTAATATGACACAAAAGGAAAATGACAAATGTTGGAGGGGATATGGGAAAATTGAGACACTAATGCATTGTTGGTGGGTTATGAATGGATTCAACCATTCTGGAGAGCAATCTGGAACTATGGCCAAAGGACTATAAAACCATGCATACCTTTTGAGCTAGCAATACCACTGCTAGGTCTGTATCCCAAAAGATATGAAAAAACAAAAACAAAAAAAGGAAGAGGACCTATATGTACAAAAATATTTATAACACCTCTCTTCTGGGGGTAAAGAATTAGAAATTGAGGGAATGCCCATTAGTTGGGGAATGGCTAAACAAATTGTGGTATGTGATTATGATGGAATACTATTATACGATAAGAAATGATGAGCAGGACGATCTCAGAAAAACCTGGAAAGACTTGCATGAGCTGATGTAAAGTGAAATGTACTGTGAACAAAGTAACAGCAATATTGTAAGGTCAGCCATGAATGATTTTATAAACCATGCATATCTTTTGACCCAGCAATGCCACTGCTAGGTCTGTATCCCAAAGAGATAAAAAACGAAAAGGAAAATGAACTATATGCACAAAAATATTTATAGCAGCTATTTTTATGGTGCCAAAGAATTGGAAATGGAAGGGATGCCCAGTTGGGGAATGGCTGAACAATTTGTGGTATGTGATTGTGATGGAATACTACTGTGCTATAAGAAATGATGAGTAAGATACTCTCAGAAAAAACTTACATGAACTGATGCAAAGTGAAATGGGCAGAACCAGGAGAACATTGTACACAGTAATAGCACTATAGTATGATGATCAATTGTGCATGACTTAACTATTTTTAGTAATACAAAGATCCAAGACAAATCTAAAAGACTCATGATGAAAAACGCTATCCACCTCCAGAGAAGGAACTGAGAGAATCTAAGTATAGATCAAAGCATACTTAAAAAAAGCTTTCTTTATTATTTTTATTATTATTTCTGTCTTATGTCACAACATGGAAAATATGGAAAAACATATGAAGGGGCAAATAGATGGTGTAGTGGACAGAGCACCGGCCTTGGAGTCAGGAGGACCTGAATTCAAATCTGGCCTCAGGCACTAACTAACTGTGTGACCCTGGGTAAGTCACTTAAACTTGACTGCCTCAAAAAAAGAAAGAAAGAAAGAAAGAAAGAAAGAAAGAAAAACATAGAAATATGTTTCACATGACTGCACATGTATAACCTATATCAAATAGTCTTCTCAATGAGGAGTCAGGGGTGGGAGGGAAGACAGCAGAGAATTTGGAACTCAAAATTTTAAAAAAGAATGTTAAAAATGGTTTTTACATGTAATCGGGAAAAACAAAATATTATTTTAAAAAACAACTCTCAATCTGCTGGAGAGATGCTGCCTATTAACAAACACATTCAAATCTCTCCCATCTTTAAGCCCCTTCATTCTATCTATCTGTCTATCTATCCTGTCTATCTCTCTGCCTGCCTGCCTGCCTGTCTGTCTATTGATCTATTCTCTCTTTTGAGCACCAGTCACAAATCACCAACTACCCCTAGGCAGCATGGCTCATGGGCATGTCAAAATTGGCATATCCAAAGTAGAACTCCTTATCTTCCCCCCAAATTTTCCCCCTTCTGAACTTTCCCTTTTTTGTTGAAGGCACCACCATTCCTTCAGTGTCCTAGGTTTGCAACATTGGTGTTATCCTCAACCCCTCAGTCTCATTTATTCCACATATCCAATGTGTTGCCAAATCTTGTCATTTATATATCTACAATATTTCTTACCAATGTCCTCATTTCACAGAGATACTTCCCTGATTCAGACTGTCATCACCTCTTGTCTGGACTTCTGCAATAGCCTTTTTTTTTTTTTTTTTTAAAAAAAAGATAGTATTTTTTCAATTAGCAAAAATCCTCCTTTTCTCCCTCCCAATCTCTGCTCTGCCCCCAGTTGAGAAATAAAGGACAAAGCCCTTGTTACAAATATATAGTAAGCAAAAAACTTTCCAAATTGATCATGTAAAGAATATGTCTCATTTTGTACTCTGATTCTTTCACCTCACTATCAGGAGGTAGGTAGTCTGTTTCATCCTTAGCCCTCTGGAATTATGGTTGACCATTATGCTGATCAGAGATCCTAAGACTTTCAAAGTTGTTTGACGTTATAATATTATTGTCATTTCCTGGCTCTGCTTACTCCACACTGTATCAGTTCATACAAATTTTTTCAGGTTTCTCTTAAACCATTCATTTCTTATAGCACAACAGCATTCCATCACATTCATATATGATAACTTGGGGTGATCATTCCTCAATTGATGGGGACCTTTCTCTTGCCCTGAGATTCCAATTCTTTGCCAGCACAAAAAAACTATAAATGTATTTAAGTAAAAAAATATGTGTATATATATATATATGTACATACACACACTTAAATATGTATAAATATATTCTTAGAGGATTTTTTGTTTTTGTTTTTGTTTCTGTTTTTGCTTAGGATTAAGCATTCCCTTAATTTCCCCTTCTCCTTTCTCCCCTTTCCCTCCTATTTCCCTGTTAAATAAAATATATTTCTGTATCTGAGTGTGTGTGTGTGTGTGTGTGTGAGAGAGAGACAGAGACAGAGAGACAGAGACAGACAGACGGTTCCTCTACCCCTCCCTTCTTTTTTGTGTAGATTTCCCTTTGTGCACCCATATTATGTGAGATAATTTCCCCTAGCCTTCCTCTTTCTCCCTCCAGTGTATTTCTCTTTGGCACCTTTTCCATTCTCCTTTTAAGAAGAATACCATCACATAACAGAACTACTCCCAGACCTTCTATCTAATTACACTCCCTCTATGACCCTTGATGGTGATAGGGTTCAGAGCGGACCCATGTATCATCTCCCCATAATGCAATGTAGGCAATTTATCCTTGTTTAATTCCTTATGATTATGCATTCATTTTTACCTCGTTATGTTCTCCTTGACTCTTGTCTTTGCGCTTTGAAGTTTCTGTATAGCTCTGGTCTTTTTGTCAGGTATGCTTGGAAGTCCTCTATTTCATTAAAGATCCATTTTCCCCTTGTAGGATTCTTCTCAGTTTTTATGGGTAAGTTATTCTTTGCTTTAAGCCTGTACCATTTGCCTTCTAGAATATCATATTTCAAGCTCTCTGCTCTTTTACAATGCTGGCAGCCAAATCATGAGTTATTCTGACTTTGCCTCCTTGGTTCTTGGTTCATTTTGGGGTTTCTCTCAGGAGGTGATTGGTGAATTCTTTGTCTTTGCACTTTGCCCTCTGGTTCTAAGAAGTCTGGGGAGTTTTGTTTTATTACTTCTTGAAATAGGATGTCTATGTTCTTCTTTTTGGTCATGGCTTCCTGGTAGTCCAGTGATTCTTAGGTTATCTTTCTTTGTTCTGCTTTCTGGGTCAGTCATTTCCCCTCATAAGACAGTTTACATTTTCTTCTGTTTTTTCAGTCTTTTGATTTTGTTTTAGTATTTCTTGTTGCGTTATGTAGTCTTTGGCTCCTATTTGATCCATTCTAATTTTCAGGGAGTTTGTGGCTTGGACAAGGATTTGTGCCTCTTTTTTGTGCCAAGTTGTTGATTCCCTTTCTAATTCTTTTCCCCACAGTTCTCATTTCTTTTCTATTTTCCCTCTAGAGCTTGCAATTTATTTGTAAAAACACTTTTTTAGCTATTTTAAAAAATTCTTGCTTCATCTCTTCCAGAAATTCTAGTTGAGTTTGTGCCCAGGTTGTCTTTTTCTCTGAGGCTTTGCTTGGAGATGCTTTGGAGTCATTCTCTTCTTCTGGGTTTGTGTGGAGAGTGTCCCAGCCACTATAGTAGCTTTCTGTGGAGGGATTCTTTTTTTTTTGTTTGCTCATTCTTCCAGCCTATTTCCTGACTTTGGACTTTATGTAATAGCTGGGCTCTGCCCCACTTCTGCAGGGAAGGTTAGAGCTGGTCTTGCTGCTGCTTTCTTGGGGTATTGGGTGTTGTGTTTTTCCAGGCTCTCAGGCACAGCTCAGGCCGGGGACTCACAAACTTTCAGTGCTCCCAAAATCTGATCTGGGACGAGTCTTATCCTTGTCCCCCATCTGAGCCCTGCAAGTTCCTGTCCTGGATTTGGGTCCGACCAATAAGCCTGTGGGCTCGCCTCTGGTTAGAGTTTCCGTTGGCTGCTCTTGTCCTTGGCCACTATCTGCCATATTAAAGCTCTGTTGGTTCAGAGGGACAGAACTGCAGGCTTCTCTTTGGTCTGGGATTCCTGCCCATGGTTATTCCTCTGCAGGTTTCAGATTGTCCTAGAGGCTGGAACCGTGACCTTTCTCTGCTCCTGGGGTCAGGACCACACATCTGTTGCTTGCTTTTGACCCTGCTCCTTGCTTGGTACGCAGCCAAGGCTTGGGATCTCTCCTCACTCCAGAACATCAGTCCCAGGCACAGATCCCCTCCTCATCCCACTCTGTGTCTGTGACCTCAGACTGGGGAGTGAGTAACAGAGCTGCCAGTTGGTGCCTGTTTCAGCATCCTGCATGAGGTCGCAGTGCTCCAGGATGGGTCTGGAGCCTCGTCTTAACCTGGGGTAAGCCTAGGTCCTCCTCCTTCAATCTCTGTGTTCTGGAGTACTGCTCCATTAGGTACCTCTGGCTAGACCCTCTGTCTCTCTCTCTCTCTTTGGTGACATGGGCTAAAAATATAGCTCATTCTGCCTTTTTCTTGGGTATCCTGATCAGGATTCGGTCTAGAGTGTTTTCTACATGTGTTTGGAGTTTTATGGGGAGGAGCATGTTGTACTTCCGGCCACTCTGTCATGTTGGCTCCACTTCCCCAATAGCTTTCTAACTGGTCTTATGGCATGTCTTTCCCGATGCAGTATGCACAAAAGAAATGTCTGCTGACTGATTGGCAGATGGCCACCCAAATTATTTTCCTAAACTGAAGGTCTGACCGTGTCGTGTCCCTACACAAGTCAACCCTGTGAGGCAGTAGCTATAGGCATATTATATTATCCTCACTTCATACTTGATCAGAGTAGGGAAGGAAGTCGTCTGAGATCACACAGTTGGTAACTGTCAGAGGTTGGTATCTACTGACTGAAGTTCTTTTCACTATCTGAGCATGGTACTCCCCTGCTCAAGAAAATTCCATGGCTCCCTATTACCTTTGTGATGGCATATTAATGCCTTTAAATCCCCTTACAATGTGGCCCCAAGGTATTTTAACCAGCCTGAGAGTGTTTGTACACAATAAGGTTAGAGAAATAGGATAGTCCCAGATTGTGGGATTTAATGCCAGGCAACAGCAAGGTGAAAAAGTCCTAAAACTGTAGCAGTTTGTGTGTCTCTCCCCCATTGAAGAAACTCTGAACATCTCATGGAACATACTCAGAGTTGACACTCCTGGTTTAAGGGAATCACAGGGGGCTTTGGAGGGCCTGCTTCTGAGCATGTGTGACTCATCCCTGAGGAGCAGACACTTGGAGATAATGAAGCCTTCCCTTCTTGGCTGTGGAGCAGGAAGACCTAAAAATTCCATAGATGTACACAAAGGACTCCTAGCCTCCTCCTCCTCTCTTCCTTTCCAGTTGTGAACTGTGTTAAGATTGTTTCGGGCTTCTTCTGAAGAGGTGTGGAAGGAAGGATGGCTTATTCTTAGTGCGGATCCCAACCTCCACGAGGCCGTGAACACGTAACATCTAAGACACATGTTCTGCCCTGGCAAGCAAGACTCAGCCTGGGTTTTTGTTACCTCTTTTGTGTTTGATCTTAGGTGATTAGGCACCTCTCCTGGAATGGATGTGTGCAGGCATAAGAGCCATCTTGTGAGTCTGAGAGGTCCAGAGACTCTGAGTTCTTTTGGGTTGGTGATGACTGGCCACAGGGGAGCTTCTCCATCAGAGAGGACAGCCACTGGAAGGAGGCTGAACCCAGCCTGGCTGTCTTACCAGGGGAGCTTCTCTATCAGAGAGGACAGCCACTGGAAGGAGGCTGAACCAAGCCTGGCTGTCTTACCAGGGGAGCTTCTCCATCAGAGAGGACAGCCACTGGAAGGAGGTTGAACCCAGCCTGGCTGTCTTACCAGGAGATATGTACGAGGAGTCGCTTGGACAGTGCAGAGGTAAGGTGAAATGTAAAATGCTTAATCGGCACTCCTGTGAACTGTGGCATATTCTGACGACACTTAAGTATAGGCTGCCTCACCAGTTGTCACCATAGTTATAAATTAAGTCACTAAATCCTTTAAAAAAGTTTGTTCTTTGTCAAATGTGAGCATGGGATATCTTCATTAAAGGCTTGAAAGTTTTCATAAGATCCCATATTTAGACCTAAAAGGAGCCTCAGAGATCATCTCATCCAACTCTTCCTATTACAGATGAGGAAACTGAGGCACAGGAAGGGAAGTGACTGCAAAGCAGCACTTGGAGGAGCATTGTACCTAACTGAGAACCTTTTCTGAAATATATCCCTGATAAGTGATCCTTTTCTTTCTTTTTTTTTTTTTTTGGCTTGAAGATCTCTTTGTGAGAGGGGATCTTCCTAAGACAGTGCACTCCTTCTGTTTGAATTTCTCAAGATCACATTGGGAAGCATCTGGCAAAGGGAAAGAGTAATGAACTTTCCTGCTAAATCTGGAGTTATAGGAGGTGAATTCTGAATCCTGGCTTGGCCACTTAGTACCCTTGTAAACTGTGACAGATCCCTTCATCTCTCTGGCTTTCAAAGTCCTCATCTTTAAATGACACAGCCAGTGTCAGAAACAGGGTTTAAATTCAGGCCTCGACACCAAGACTGACTCTACTTTTGATACCTAGCTCTTTCATGGAGATCAAAGAGGGGCTGGCGATCCAATGAGGTAGCCCTCTAACGGTGGTGTGACTTGGGGGGGACAGTGGAGAGTGGAACCCTCTCTGACCCAATCATGGAAAGGCCTCTGGCTCAACAGTCTCCTAAGCTTAGTTAGCCTTTGGTAGCCTTTGAATTGGGCAGTGGGGCTCTCATGGAAACCACTTCTGACAATAAATTAATCAGTCATTCAATCAACAAACATTTATTAAGTGTTTACTCTGTGACAGGCACTGCCTTAAATCCTGGGGTACAAAGAAAGGTGAAAACACAAATCTGCGAATCCTGTTATCATTAGGGGTCATATCAGGGAGTCTAACTAGACAGAGGGGCAGCTAGGCGGTGCAGTGGAAAGAGTAGTGGGCTTGAAGTCAAGAAGATCTGAGTTCAAATTTGGGTTCAGACACTTACTAGCTGTGTGACCCTGGGCAAGTCACTTGACCCCTATTTGCCTCAGTTCCTCATCTGTAAAATGGGGACACACTGGAAAGGGAGAGGAAGAGGAATACCCCAGGCTGAAAGGAAAAGGAGGAAGAAGGTTAGGGAAAATTGTCCCATATACTTGGCATACTCAAGTGGATGCACAGACTCCTGGAGGAAGGGGGAGCAGGAGTGGAAGCCCCTCGAACCTCACTCTCATCTGAACTAGTCAAAGGAGAGAACACACACACACACACACATGCATACACACACACAGAACTGGGTACAGGAACACTTCACTTAAAAAAATAAGAGGGAGAAGGGAAAACGTGGTAGATTAAGGGAAGGATTAGTCTAAGCAAAACAAAGTAAGGATGTATAAAAATAGTTATAACTTTCTGGGGTGGCAGAGAATTGGAATCTGAGGGGATGTCCATTAGTTGGTGGACGGTCAACACAAGTTCTGGTAAATGAGTGTGAAGGAATGCTATGTTCTGTAAGGAATGGTGAAGGGGGTGGTTTCAGAGAAACACGGGAAGACTTGGATGACTGGTGCAGAGTGAAGTGAGCAGGACAGGAGGACAGTTTCCACTGTGACAGCAATGTTATAAAGTCAAACAGCTTTGAAAGACTTAGGAACTCCAATCAGTGTGATGACCAGCTACAATTCCAGAGGATCAGTGACGAAACAGGCTGCCTGCTTCCCAACAGCGAGGTAAAGGAATCAGAATGCAAAGTGAGACTAATATATTTTTTGGACGTGGCCAATGTGAAAATTTGTTTTGCTTGACTATACATGCTTATAACGGGAGTTTTGTTTTTCTTTCATTCTCAGTTGAAGGGGGTGGATTCAGGGTGGGAGGGAGAGAAAGTGGATTTTTACTGATTGAAAACAACAAAATACAAAAAAAAAAAGAGCCACTGACACACTGGACAGCATGCAGAGGAAGGCACCAAGTGCGTCAAAGGGCCATGCATCTGTATCACACATGGATCTGCTGAAAGAACTGGC